GTGTGTGTTTTGTGGTGCTGCTGGTTTCTTTGTTCCTCATGTTTTACTATGGTGATTTCATTTTTGTGTGCTTTTTCTTGTCGATTTCTTCATTGTTGTTGTTGTTAGATGCCATTGAGTCGGTACCGACTCATAGCGACCTTATGCACAGCAGAACGAAACACTGCCCAATCCTGGGCCAACCTCACTACGGTTGTCACACTTGAGTCCATCGATGCTGCCACCTGGACAATCCATCTCGTTGGGGGTCTTCCTCTTTTTCTCTGACCCTCTACCTTACCAAACATGATATCCTTCTCCAGCGACTGGTCCCTCCTGACAATATGTCCGAAGTATGAGAGATGAAGTTTGGCCATCTTGGCCTCCAAGGAGCACTCTGGCTGCACTTCTTCCAACACGGATCTGTTGGTTCTTTTGGCAGCCCATGGCACTTTCAATATTCTTCTCCAACACCATATCTCAAAGGCATTAATTCTTCTACGGTCTGCCTTATTCACTGTCTAGCTTTTGCATGCATATGAAGTTATTGAAAATACCATGGCTTGGGTCAGGTGTATCTTAGTCCTCAAGCTGACACCTTTGCTCTTCAACGCTTTAAAAAGGTCTTGTGCAGCAGATTTGCCTAATGCAATACCTTGTTTGATCTCTTAACTGGTGCTTCCATGTGTGTTGATTGTTGATCCAAAAAGAATGAAGTCCTTGACAACTTCAATCTTTTCTCCGTTGATAAGAATGTTGTTTATTGGTCCAGTGGTGAGGATTTTTGTTTTCTTTACATTGAGATATAATCCATACCGAAGGCTGTGCTCTTTGATCTTCATCAGTAAATATTTTAAGTCCTCTTAACTTTCAGCAAGCAAGGTTGTATCATCTGCATATTGCAGGTTGTTAACGAGTCTTCCTCCAATCCTGATGTCCAATTTTTGATAGCCAATGTCTAAATTGCCTGTCCCTCTCAACCCAGTACAGAGTCCTGGTGTGGCACTGTGGGTAAATGTGCTGAACTGCAAAGTTGTTTGAACTGCGAGGTCGGTGGTTTAAGCTCACCAGCTGCTCCTTGGAAACCCTATACAGGGTTGCTACGGGTCAGAACCAACTTGATTGTACCTTAACAACAGCATCACCATCAATCCAGTAGTACACTGAGGAAACAAGCTTGCTCCTTGATATGAAGAATCCTTCCATTCCAGTTGTAATTTTGAGCCACTGCATCCATAAGCAAAAGTCTAGTTCATCAAATTATAGCAATTTGCACTTGCTCACAGTATCAAACATCTTTATCTTTCTCTGGTCCAGTTCTGGTCAACTAGTCATCCAAGCTAGGTCAAATGGGTACTAGCTGCAAGTTTGAGAGTTCACACATACCTCCCTGCACTTCAGACCAGTTGGTCATTTCACTCTCAGCCCTAACCTCCAGGGGCTAGGTCAGTGCAATGGGCTCAGGATTTCACACATTTTTCTAAACTTCAGACCAGCCAGCCTTTCCTCTTCTCTCTCTCATCTCAAGGTCAACGCATGTCAATGTAACATGGCCAAATTCAGCCTATGTCTTCATTACTGCATTTCCTTACCTTCCATTCACAAGTAGACTCGTATGGTCACCAGTGAGCCTACTAGACTGCTCGCGGGTTCCCTTTAAGTTTCAGTCCTAGAAAGGATTTTTCCCCAATGGGCTGACTTTTCTTGCCTTGATCCCTCCAAAACAAACAGCTTGCTTGAAATTCAAACAGCCAAACAGTCTGCTGTGTTTCTGCACAGAATGTTTCTTTTTGTATGAAAACTTTTTCCTGAACTTTTACAATAGTGGTCTTGTACAATATTTTTCCTTTTGTGAATGACTTATTTCATTCAGCATAATGTCTTCCATGTTCAACCATGTTATGAGGTAATTTGCAGATTCATCACTATTCTTCAGTGTTGTATAATATTTCATTGTGTGTCTGTACCAAAGTTTGTTTATCCATTCTTCCATTGATGGGAATTTACGCTGTTTCCATCTTTTTACTATTGTGAATAGAGCTGCTATGAACATCAGTGTGCATATATCTACTCGTGTCCTGGCTTTTAGTTCTTGTGGACATATATCAAGTAGAGGGATTGCTGAGTCATAAGGTATTTCTAGTCCCAACTTTCTAAGGAAGCGCCACACTATTTTCTACCGTGGTTGAACCATTTTACACTCCCACCAGCAATGTAGAAAGGTCCCCGTCTCTCCACATCCTCACCAGCATTTGTCGTTTTCTGTTTTGTTTTGTTTTTTCTACTTCACTGTTAATGCTGGTGTGAGATGACATCTCACTGTTGTTTTGATTTACATTTCTCTAATGACTATGATTGTGAACATTTATTTCTTCATATGTTTGTTGGCTGCCTGAATGCTTTCTTTGGTGAACTATCTTCATGTCCTATGCCCATTGTTTTTTAATTGGATTATTGAATTGTTTGTCTTTTTCTTGTAGAGGTATTGTCATTTTCCATAAATTTTAGAGATTAGTCCCTTGTCTGATATGTAACTGTAAAAAAAAAAAAAAAAAAATCCCAGTCTGTGGGCTCTCTTTTTTGAAATCTTTTGATGCACGTAAGTTTCTCATTTTCAGGAGGTCCTATCCATCTATTTTGTCTTCTGATGCTTGTGTAGTTTTAGTAATGTTTGATAGTGTGTCTATACCATGTCCCTAAGTTTGTCTCTGTTTTTTCACTAATGATCTTTATAGTTCTAGCTTTTACATTTAGGTTTTTAATCCACTTTGTGTTTGTTTATGGTGTGAGAGATGGGTATTGTTTCATTCTTATGCAAATGGACTTCCAGTTTGGCTGGCACCATTTCTTGAAGAGACTGTCTCTTTCTCATTTAATGTGTTTTGGCCCTTTTTCAAAGATCAGCTGCCTGTTTGTGGACAGATTTACTTCTGGGTTCTCAATGATCTATGCAGCTTTTGCTTTATCGGTACCAGGCTATTTTGACCACTGTGGCTATGTAGTAAATCTTGCAATCAGCGAGTGAGAGGCCTCCAACTTTGGTCTTCATAAGCAGTGTTTTGCTTATCCAAGGTCTCTTTTCAATACGGTTTTCATGCTGTTATCTTAATGGAACCAGATTAGATTGCCAGGCAATTCTTCCGCAGCTATGATGGGTGGGTTCAAACTGCCAACCTTTATGTTAGCAACTTTGTAAATCAGCACCTTTAGGTTAGCAGTTGAGCACCAACTATTTGCATTACCCAATGATCTCACTCTACCTACAGAATATGCCTAGTAAATACATTCTCCCACTCTTCTTACAGCTACTTTTCTGTGTAGATAATGACTAACAGAAGCAATTCCTTCAAATAGAGGTGAATGATCCAGCAAACTATTATCTAGTCATCAGACAATCAAAACCCCCAAATATTGTACAAAGATGATAGTTATTCACACTGTCCAATGGTAATTGGCATCCATATGATGAGCTTGGACTAGCCAATTAAGATTCAATTCTCTCCTGATAGTTTTAATGTTGACTTGTAATAATCTAGGGTTTTAAACATGGGTGACCCACTTATATGATGAAAGGGTTAGCTATAAATATACTTGTTAATTTAGCTAAACAGCTTTATTGACTAGTAGACCCTGTTTCTCCAATCATTTTGAAAAACTTGGACTGGGCTGCATATACAGTATTCCTGTCTATTTACAGATCTGCCACTGATAACACTAAATTGTTTTTTTCTCAATGAGAATGGATTTAGGCACACATTTGTCTCTTCTTCCTGAAGCTCAGCCTCATACACAAATAAGATGGCAGCTTGAGTGTGCTGTTTGAATCCATACCTTGGTGGCATTAGCAATAACTCCTGTGTTACAGTTATTGGCATATGTCAATATTACCTTAGCTTATGAAATGGGTGGGAGGGGAAAGGTCTTAGAAACAAACATAAAATGGGTGCACTTCATTGAATTTCCGTTGTAACTCAGTAGAGATGATGATTTCAAACAAACTGTGAATCTGCAAATCACTTTCAGGAGAGAAAATACTGACCTTGACCAAGATGTGTGATTAGTAGTGAGCCTTGGGAAACTGCCTCCTAATACCGTAATAAAGTTGTGTTCATTTATCACCTTCCAAGCATAATCTAGGATTCTGGCAAATTAGACCCAACCACTTTGTTCTACATTCAGCCACAGGGGGGTGGATCTTTTTAGGGGTTTCCAATTCCTTTTTGAAATTCCACCATTCCAGAAGGAGTTATGGTTATATAGAGGACCACGGAATGAAAGGCACTGTGGGGCTCATGTCTTGTCCCATGATCCCCCACCTGGGCCTCTAGTGTTTTGCACCAGAAACAAAGTCCCCTTTTACTGGAGCAGCTACCATTTGCTTACCCCTTCTCCTACCCGAGTATGGCCCTCTCCCGCGGCAGGCCTTCCCCATTGGCTAGCCAAACACAACCGACTGCGGTAGCCAATGGGAGCTGCCCTACTGAACATTCAGAGGATGAGTGCTCGTGGTGTGATGAGTGGAGGTTGGCGCCTGGCACGCGCCCCCTTACATCTGGCCCTACATACACACACACATACACCCATGCCCCTGATCCCTCCTCTCAGCTGTGCAAGCTCCCCACACCTCTCTGTATGTCTTGGCAGAGTCTTCCCTGACTCCTCGAGGGCCTGAGAATGCACCTGCTTACTCTTTAGGACAGAGCATCCTATTTAGCCTGAAGCTTGGGAGGGGCCGTGGAGGCGTGGCTCGGCTGCTGCCCACGGGGGTAAAGGGGGTATCGTCCTATCCTGAGTGGCGCTGTTCTGACTCCGAGGAGCTTGGGAGATGCCTTAGGCATAGAGCTCTTTGTCTTCCGCAGCTGTGCTACCTGCTTGCTGACCCTGCGCAGTGAACAGACGACATAAATGGGAGTGTACTGAAAGGAAGGCCTCCAGGGGGGTGGTGTGTGCAGCGCTCCCTGCCCCCTCCCTTCCCTCCTCCAGTTTCTTCCCTCCAAGGTGTCCCTGGTGTCTAGGTAGTGGGAGGGTCTAGGCCCAGGCGCAGGGGAGCAGCAGCAGCGCCAGGAGCACCACCGGGTGGCAAGCCCCAGCATCCCTGTCTGAGGACAGAGGCGACTCCAGGCGTGTCCGTGCCCACTCTCCTCCATCGCTCCTCCTCTCCCAGTTTTTGTATTGGGGCCTCAGAGCTCCCATGAGGGTGCACTGAAGGAGGGGGGCCGTGGTGAGAGCACCCCCTTCCCGCGCGCGCGCGCACACACACGCTCCTGGCGCACGCACACCCAGGCAGACCGACACACACGCACGCACACACGCACACCACTCGTTCGCCTCGAGCGCAGGAACGTGGCCGTTGTCTTTGTGTGGAGCCCTCGAGGGGGTCGGGCACCTGGCCGGTCCCGGGGAGATGGCGCAGCCCATCCTGGGCCAGGGGAGCCTGCAGCCCGCCTCAGCCGCTGGTCTGGCCGCCCTGGAGCTCGACTCTTCTCTGGACCAGTACGTGCAGATTCGCATCTTCAAAATCATCGTGATCGGGGACTCCAACGTGGGCAAGACCTGCCTGACCTTCCGCTTCTGCGGAGGTACCTTCCCAGACAAGACTGAAGCTACCATCGGCGTGGACTTCAGGGAGAAGACGGTAGAAATCGAGGGCGAGAAGATCAAGGTGATCAGATGGTCAGGTCCGGGGAGGGTGGGAAGTGGGAGGGGGCCTCGTCTGAGGTTTGGCTATAGTGGCTGGAGACGTCCAGAGCGTGTCTGTGCCGCTGCTGGCTGAGCCCAAGCCCCTGGCTTCGGTACCTCCGCATCCTCTCTTGTCTAGCTCAGTGACCCAGTTCTCACCTCGTCCCCCCTTTTTTTCAGGCTGGAGAAAATGCTTTTCCTTTTCCCTTCCTTGCCCCTTGCCGACAGTTCCTGCCTGTTTGATCCCATCCTTGACTCTTAGCTAGAAACAGCGGCACCTGTGGTCAGAGGGAGGCATGTGGGATCGACCCCAAAGCACTTTACACACCTTGAGGTCTCGTCTACCTCTTGGGTGCCAGGAACGACATGGGCTAAACTCCGAGAATGAGAACTGCTTTATTTTAAATTATAGTCCATAGTTGAGATTAGGGTTGAGTTGGTAGAGGGCGGTGGTGGTTTCTGGCCCGGAGCCATGAGTCCTTTGAAAAGAAATTGAGACAGGATCTCTCGCCAGCCTTGCTAATCCCTCGTAATCGACAAAACTTGTTCTTCTGGAGTCACTCTCCCCAAAAGACTTGTCTGGAGTACCGATTGCACTGGTTTGATCAGGTCGGAGTATTGTCTTCTGAAGGCATTTGTAAAATGCAAAGCAAGTTACCTGAGGGCCCAGGGAAGTGCCTGGATCCACCCCTATCCTCCTATACCTCCTCATCCTGAGTTTATCACGTAGGCCAAGTATGACTATTCTTGTCTGTTGGTTCTCACCTTCAGTCTACAGGACAGGAAAGGATCACTGTACAGGGGGTGGTAGGAGGGAGGACATGGCAAGGGCAGGTGTGTGTGTGGTGGTGGTGGTGGGGTGACAAAGTGGGGAAGAGTTATGGGCAGGGAGAGAGAGAAAGGCACTTCAAAAGGTACTGGGGGTGCTGATGACCAACATTGCTACCTCAGAGCTGGCCTTTTATTTGAGTCTATGGTTGGTCCCTCAACTGGGTCAGGGGTGAAGGTAAACCCCCATCTTGCTGGGACACCAGCCGAGGTGTCTCTGAGACCTGTCATCTGAGAGATGGAGGGAGAAGGGCTGAGTAACTGGGGAGGATGATGAAACACTCTTAACTGTGCAAGACTCCTGTCTCCTTGATTACTAAGATGAATGTGTTTTAAAATGGCTTCAGAAACTGGGCCAAGGTACTAGGTGCCAGCAAGACGAGCTGCTTGGTGTTGTTAATGGAGAGCTCCCCCAAACAGCTGAGCCCCAGGTCAGGAAGCTAGGGCGTTCTTTTCACATTTCGATGTTTTTCTGGACCCTGACACTTGAGGGAAATTGCAGCATTTCCCTTTAAGGCCTTTGTAGATATTAGTCTGTCTTTTCATAGGGCTCATATACACACTGATGTTGGCTAGGTTAGGGCTTTTCTAGCGTGTCCAGCTTTAATGGATGGCTGTGAGATTTTGGCATTTCCAATGTCATTTTATTAAAAAAATCCAAAGTAGAAATATATTTGTCCATTGGCTTTTAAATCTTCAAAACCTTAGAAGGTAATGCTATCACTTGTTTAAAACCAAAAGGGGGCAGTGGGAAATAAGTCCCCCTGAAATTCAGATGTAAGAGAAAGGAAGTGTTTGTGAGTTTGGGGAAGGGGTAGGGAAAGGGGTGAAGAGAGAAGAAAGCCAGGAAATTGGGAATGGGAGGTAAAAATGAAATCCCAAGTGGGTCATCACCCAATGGCCTTGGGAACATTTTTCAACCATTCCTTCTCCTCTAAACTCGCAATACTTAACCAGCTCTTTTCCCAGAGGACAGAGCTTATGACAGTGTGACTCACTAGAAACAGAGTTCAGCACTACACCATGTGCAGATAAGTGCTTAATACAGACTTTTGGGGAAGATGATATTTTCTAAGAGGACAAAACCTTGTGACCTTACCCATGGAGGAGCCCTCTGACCACAGATTCTGAAGGCACTCAAGGTAGGGTATGGGAGCCAGGAGAAGGTATCCCTGCCTCTTGTAGAGCTGCTGCAATCTCAGGGCCAATGCTGGCAGGCGAGAGGCCAGCATGGCCGTGGGAAGATGGCAGAGTTTGGAATATGGCAGCTGGACAGCTAGCAAGTGATCTGGACAGAAGATTTTGCCTCCCCCCCCCCATACACACACATTCCTGCTGGCCTGGAGTTCCTCAAGGCACAAGTGCCAAAACCACTCTAGGAGGTGGCTGCCAAGGGTTTCCCCCTTTGGGAGACAGAGGAAAGTTCAGTGTGACAGGCTGAGGTAGCCTGAGACCACAGCCAGCCATAGAAGGTTCTGGGCTCTAAAATGGCAGCCCTCACTGGAGAGCCATAAAGAGGTCTCAGTAAACTCTTCTCCACAGCCCAAGAGTAGGGCGGGGCCTCTCCTGGGCTGACTCCCTGTGTCCTAGGGTATTTCATGGGACCACCTCTGCTGGGCCTGACTGATTTCATGTACTTGAGGCTACTCCTAATTACCAGGACCATCCCTTGGGCGTTGAAGCCCATTTGATGTCTCTGGTCAATGTGTCCCGTACCCTATCACAGCATTTATGATCCACATTTCCTAGTTGACACGAGTGTTGAAGAAAGCCACCAAAAAATAGACACTACTAAGGAGCTCTGGTAGCGTAGTGGTTACGAATCGGGCTGTGAACCTTAAGGTCAGCGGTTCGAAACTACCAGCTGCTCCGCGGGAGAAAGATGAGGCTTTCTACTCCCGTAAAGATTTACACCCTCGGAAACCCTGTACAGGGTCGCTATGGGTCGGACCCGACTCGATGGCACATAACAACAACAACAACAACTACTACTACTACATTCTATTTATTGAATGGGGACACTGGAGGGTCAATAGTAGAATCATCTTCCATGCGGGAGACTGGTTCGATTCCAGGCCAAGGTATTTCATGCACAGTCATCACCCATCTGTCAGTGGAGGGTTGCATGTTGCTATGATGCGGAACAGGTTTCAGCAGAGACTAGGAAGAAAGGCCTGGTAATCCCCTTCAGAAAATAAGTCAGTGAAAGCTCTATGGATCAGAATGGTGTAATCTCATACATTGGTTGTTGTTAAGTGCCATCTAGTCGGTTCCCATAGCAACCCTGTGTAGGAGCGGCTGGTGAACTTGAACTGCTGACCTTGCACATTAGCCCACAGCGCCACACCAGGACATGGGGTCAGTGAAAGTTGAGGTGACTAAATAGCAGCTTACAAGAACAACAACATCTGTTGAATACACAAAGAGCCCAGACCAGGCGCTTTACATGTGTCATCTAATTTGCTCCTTATAGCAACCCTATGAATTTAGTACTAGATTGTTAGCAGTCCTATTTGATAGAAAAAGGAGCTCTGGTAGCATAGTGGTTACAAACTAAACTCAAGGTCAGCAGTTCAAAACTACCATAGGAGAAAGATGAGGCTTTCTGCTCCCGTAAAGATTTGCAGCCTCGGAAACCCCGTGCAGGGTCGCTATGAGTCGGAACCGACTCCACGGCACATAACAACAACAACAATGACTGTGGAGTCAACTCCAGCTCATGGTAACCATGTGTGTATCAGAGCAGAAATGAGTCCCATAGTGTTTTCAGTGGCTGATTTTTCAGAAGTAGATTGCCTGGCCTTTCTTATGAGGCACCTCTGAGTGCACTCGAACCGCCAACCTTTCAAACAGCAGCTGAGTGTATTAATCGTTTGCATCACCCAGGGACTCTGACTGATGTTTAGGAAGATTAAATAGCTTTCCCAATGTTACATGGATCTGAGCATCAGTCCTTCACTCTTGAGCCCAAGAACTCCTTTTAGCACCTCACTTCTCGGTGACCGGGCACCAAATCAGAGCCTGTTCTCTTTACCATTTCACTCTTCTCCAGGAGGCCATATACAAGGGGGCTTCCAAAAGTTCATGGGAAAATTCCATTCTCTTTTAGTTCCATTTTTTTTCTACAGACTTTTTGAAGTCCCTTCATACAGCCTTAGGGGAGGGTGGAGAGTGGGAGGTGAGACCTCAGGGTCTCTTTGAAGTCCCAGGACCTGCGTTATGTACCTAGGAACCTGAACAGAGTACTTGGATTTTCATTTTTTCACCTTAACTGTCTTACCTTGGAGGTGAGAATCAGAGAGTATTCAGAGATGGAAGAGAATGTTGAGACTCTCTTGGCCAGCAACTTCATTTTTAAACGACAGGAAACGGAGGCAAACATGACTTGTCAAGGTCACATGGGGCCAGGACTAGAACTCAGGTCTTCGAATTTCCTTTTCAGTGCTCTTTCCATGCATCAGGCTGCCTGCCTTAAAAGAGCAAGTAAACCCACTCTCTGAAGAGCCCCACCCCCTGAAGTTATTCTGATAGGGACACAGAGGAACATCATACAGGAAAACTAAGAGTCCTTTCTGGCCTCAGTCTAAAAAAGGGGTGGAGGCATCCACTAACATCTGGAGCTTCCCTTAGTGACCAATGTGTGTCCATCAACTACAGGTTTAGCTACGTCATATTGTGTCTGTCTCAGCCAAAAGCATTGGAAAATGCCAACTAGGCATGTGGGCAGACCAGGGAGATAGTCAGCAGGATGCTCAAAAACTACGTTCTGAGTCATTCTTTGTAAATTCTCAGAGAAGTACCCGAGCTCCTTTGAGTTTGCTATTTTCCCATTGGCTGGGCACCCTGTCTGACCTAGTCCTCAGGCACAGACAAACTCAGGCAGGTCAGTGGTGGCTGCAGTGGCCTGGGATTTGGATTTCTCATACTCTGCTGATCCTGTGGAAAAACACCTTCCTGTGTTACATTCCCGAGTGGACGGAGGCTGAGCTAAGTGTGCTTGCAGTCAGAATGACATCATATCTTCCTTAGGGCCCTGAGCTGCCATCTTCTGCCAGTGAGCTTTTAATGGGTCATTATCCATCAGTGTGTGTTTCTCTGTACTCAACCACCCCTCCCACCCCCGCCTGCCTCTTTCAGTGTGTGAGTTCTCTTTGT